GTAGTAATAGTGTGACCATGCTTATTGCAATTCTCACAGTACGGACGCTGCCGTTTGCCTTGAGTGCGATACTGCACTTTAGAAGCTTGAAGCGCTGCTGATTCCTCAGCAGGGAGGGGTCGAAAATTAATCTCTTGTTGTTTCTCTACCTGGCGTACGATGTTATAAATGCGCTGAATTGAAGGAAAAGGATCCATGAGGAGAATTTGGCTACGGACGGCCGAGAATCGGTCATGGACGCCCTGAAGAAATTCCATGGCCCGGTCCTGATTTTGTTGATCAACAATACTCTTGGCATTACCGCAGATGCACGGATTGATAGGTGCGATGGAATGGAGTTCATCCCAGAGAGATTTCAACTGAGTAAAATACAGAGATATAGACATGCCCTCTTGTTTTAGGGCAGAGATAAATTGTTTCAATTGATAGATTTTCGGAGCGTTGGACTGAGATAAACGATCCTTGAGATCGGTCCAGATTTGTGCCGCCGTTTCAGCATAGAGAATGCTAGGGCGAATCTCGGTTGAAACTGAGTTGAGAATCCAGCTTGCAACCATATCGTTGCAGCGGCGCCACTTAGAGATATCATCGGCCTTCTTTGGACAGGTTAGGGTTCCATCGACAAACCCGAATTTTTTTTTGGCACGAAGTGCCATTGTTACGGCTCGGTTCCATGAACCATAGTTGTCGACCTTGAGCAGAGGTGTAACAAGTACAGTTGCAGGGTTGTCGGAATGATGGATAACGCATGGATCGGTGTTGGAGGTGGTGGCGGATTGGTCCATGATCGGCGGGTTTTGTGAAGGGGTTGAGGTGCTGGGTGGTGGAACATCGGACATGATGATGCGAGTGAGTGAGTGAGTCGATGAAGAAGGATTGAAACAGGATGATAAACACAAACTACAAACTGAGGGAGATTAACCAGAGAAAAACTGATACCATATAAAGAAAAGAATGAATTGATACATAAAAGAAAGCACTTGAATATTGTATCGGAATTTTGTTGTGTTATTTATTCTTGTAATGATGTACATATATATATATATATATATATATATATATAAGAGTACAAGAATCTGTATACTAATTGCCTATAATTGTCTAGTCTATAATTGCCTATAATAGAGATCCTATTTTAAAAACCATTATGATGCAATTTCCTGATATACTTTGACAGCTTATATTGCCAGCACATGTTTGCTTGGGTTTGACCTTCTTGAATGTGAATAATATGTGCTTATCCTTAACAGTTAGAATGCTTGGATTATGCTTGAGCTGCTATGTGGGAACTGTTTGAACAATTATTGTCGTGCTTAACTAGTCAAAACAATTAGCATGTTAGTGAGAATTAGTGTATATTTTAATTAAAATGTGTTAAACTGTTAGTGATTTAAGGGTTAATTTGAAAGTTAGTGGGACTGTTATGGAATGTTAATATGTTAGTGAAATTGGAAATGAAATGTTAGATTAGTTTGTGTTAACTGCTTGAACTGTTATGCCATGCCTCTTTGGATTAGCTATTATGGGGTTTGAACTATGGGTGGCAAAACGGGTTGTCCGCCCCGCCTTTAGCCTGCCAAAAAAGGGGGCGGGGCGGATAAGCCCGCTAAGTGAAAATGGGCTTAAAATCCTAACCCACCCCGTCAAGGTGGCGGGTTGGTGGGCAATTTTTTTTATTTTTTTATTTTTTATTATATTAATAGGATTATTTTTACATTTCAATTAGATTTTTCACTTATTTTTTAGAACAAGTTTTTATAAAGCATCTTTTTAACAAAATTTACTTTAAAAAATATTGCATATATTCACAAATTAATGTATAAAATAGAATTATCAACAATTACCCCAAAATATAGTTAAAGTGATTGTAGTGCTTGATAACTAAGCTGGCGGACGCCCCTTTTTTTGGCGGGTTTAAGGCGGGGTGGAATTAAAGTGGGGCGGGCTAGGCGGGCACAAAATCCCAGCCCAACCTGCCATTTTTTGGCGAGTGCACGGGCCGGCCAGGTGGGACATGATCCGTTTTGCCACCCCTACTTGAACTGTTATGTAATAGTGTATTCTATGAACCTTAAACTGTCATGGAGCGTTTTTGAATCAACGGAACTGTTAGCCAAATGTTATTAGCCGAATGTTATCAGTTACAGCTAGTGATTTAGTTAGGATGGAAACCAATTAGTTTAGTTTAATGATTATTGGTCATATTGTGATGTTATGCTATGCAAATTGGTGTGAATTAATTTGGATGATTGAATTGGGTTGATGAGTTTGTGCAGGCCTTGTTTGATCTTTCTAATATGCATGATGATTTTCCCTTGTTGCTGCGGACTCAGGTGCATGGTAGGATGAGCCTCTGCTTGGCATTTTGGACATGAAAAGGTTCCACACGTCATGGCATATCAAGATGGGAGTTTTGGCCAACATCAAGAATTATGAAGAAACTTGAAGACTTTTGGAGGCTTCGATGATCACAAAATGGGATGTCTATGAAGAAACGTCATGGCATAACAGTTGACTAAAAGTCAACCATAGGTCAAAGGTGTCTTTTTGTATAGAATTTGGTTTTAAACTCTTGTAATGTATTTGGATGCTTTTGAAATGAAAATTGATCATTTGTAATATGTGACTTGCTTTCCAAAAATGAAATGAAATTGAATTTGCTTGAATATTTGAATCTCTTTATTAGAGTGAAAGAATGAAAGAAGAAGAGAGAGAAGATAAATCTAACTAAAACTGAATTATGTTATTATGCTTGAACAGTTTACAGTGATACAAAGTTATATATTCATTTTAAACATGTGTACTAGTTAGCTTAACCTACAACATAACTAACTGTAAGTTAGTTATGCTGTTGTGGCATTCTAGACTATTCTAGCATTTTCTCTAATACTCCCCCGCAAGCTCAAGGTGGTTGTGAAGGAACACTGGAAGCAGTCAGGTTGAGCTTGCCTCTGAACTCCAGAAATCTTGCACTTGAGAGAGATTTAGTGAGAATATCAACTTTCTGATCAACACCAAGAATATGACACAGTCAGGTTGAGCTTGCCTCTGAACTCCAGAAATCTTGCACTTGAGAGAGATTTAGTGAGAATATCAACTTTCTGATCAACACCAAGAATATGACACTGCTAGAGTTTTGTTGAGGACATTTTCCCTCAAAAAATATATCTATTTCAATGTGCTTGGTTTAAGCATGGAGAACTGGATTATGTACCATAGCAGCAGTACTTTGATTATCACAGAAAATAGTAGGTGGTGAAAGGAACATTCAGTTCTGTAAGCAGCGTTTGGACCCACAGAACCTCAGCAGTTAATTGAGCCAAACTTCAATATTAAGCTTCTGCACTAGAGCGAGCCACAATAGTCTGTTTCTTTGACCACTAGGAAATCAGATTAGGCCCTAAGAATACAGCTGATATAGAAGTGGACCTTCTATCTTAGGTTCAGCAGCCCAATCTGCATCACTTAATGCTTGAAGAGAGAAAGGATGCGTAGGCAAGGCAGAGGTGAACAACAGCCCAGAGATGAGAGTACCCTTCAGATAACGCAAGATGTGTTTGACAGCCAGCCAGTGAGATTCCAAAGGATGTGCCATAAACTAGCACACTTTATTGAATGCATAACAAATCTCAGGACGAGTGATAGTAGCATACTACAAAGCTCCCACCATAGACCTGTAAAGAGAAGGATCAGAGAACCCAACAAAACCAGTTTTGGTAAGTTTGGTAGTGGAAGCCATATGGGTAGCTACAAAATTAGATTCAAACATGTCAGTTTTGGCAATAAGGTCCCTAGATCGTAATCAGGCTCTAATACTATATTAGAGTGAAAGAATGAAAGAAGAAAAGAGAAAGAGAGAGAAGAGAGAGAAGATAGATCTAATTGAAATTGAATTCTATTATTATGCTTAAATAGTTTACAGTGATACAAGGTTATATATTCATTCTAAACCTGTGCACTAGCTAGCTTAACTTACACCACAACATAACTAACTGTAAGTTAGTTATGCTGATGTGGCATTCTAAACTATTCTAGCCTATTCTCTAATACTCTTGAATTTCAACTTTGAATTGAACTTAGTTATGCTGATGTGGCATTTTAGACTATTTTAGCTTATTCTCTAATACTCTTGAATTTCAACTCTGAATTGAACTTGAATCCTTGTCTTGAATTTGAATTGCTCTTGACCACTTGAATGAAATATCATGTCATGAATCAAACAACAACCAATGGCAATCGCTAAGTAAGACCTCATTAGAAAATGGTCAACAAAAAGTCAACCCTCCATGGTTGACTTTTATTGACCAAAGTCAATCTTAAAAGTGACCTCCAAATCCCAATGCTATGATGTAATTAATATGATCAGAAATCAAAAACCCAGGATTAGGGTCCTTTAGAGACATGGTCCAAGAGAATGACCAACCAAAGTCTTTGTGCCCGTAGTCAAAAGTCAAAATGAAGCATAATGAACCATTGGCTTTATGAATAGCTCATAACTTATCCACCATTCAATGCTTTGTATTATAAATAACAAGACCTTTGAATCAATGATATTTATTTCAAAATGCAATGGTAAATAAATATCTTAAATGATTTTGAGTATGTAAATTAATCATAGACTAAAAGCCTATATAAAAAGTGGAAAGAAGTATGACAAATTTTAGGATACGACACAATCACCATTGACTTCAAAATATTGAAAATCCTAATCAACAATCATATTATATATAAACAATGGTTCCTACTAAACCAGAGACAACAGAAAAATGCCACAAGCAAGGAATGCTTGTTACCTGTCTCGCAGTCTGTGTGTTTGTCATAGATCTAAATATTTTTAGAATATAGATATGTCGTATATTTTAAAACTAAAAGCATGCAGATATGTTTATTTGACTTCCGCCCTAGTATGATTTTAATAACAAGATGAGCATTGATATTAGAATTAATCCCAACATCTATATAATGAACTTTGGTCACAGGTTCCAGTCAATAAATAAAATTTAATAAAAATAAGTTATTAGTAAGGTCAAAGCATTGTACAAAGAATGAATAGCAATGGAAGAGTTCAAATTTCGAGTCCAGCAATAGGAGCATCCAAGGGCACACCCAATGATGAACAATTGTACGAAGTTTTCAACAGAGAAGTGAATTGCACTGAATATAACAGAGCTTATGGCTACAGCTTGTTGCCACTTCATGGTTGACGAAAGTGATGTTAGCAGAAATCCTCTATAAACAACTTCTTCCAAAAGAGGAGTAACAATGCAATAAGCAACAACACAACAAACTCTTGAGATATCACTATCCAGGAGGATCTCCTTCAGTGAGGGGTTGCTGAGAGGCTGTAATGATACAACACAAAACATCATTCCATAAATTTCAATCATTCTCAGTCTCTTCTTTACAATAATTTCATAAAACAATGAGGTTTGCTGGTATATTAACAAAATTTAAGGACAATAAATTTGCTTTAAACTAGCACAGTATCCAGGGATGACAGTTATAATGCTTCAAATCCTCACTAATAATTACCTATCTCTTTTTCACCTCTTCCTTTATATCCCACACATACCCATCACCAAGTAGGTAAGTTTATTGTCTATGAAGTGGTAAGAGTCTGATTTCGCAAGTTTAAATAATGAAGTTTAAAAATTTCAAAAACGAAACCAAAATAATCATTAGTTTCAAGTTTATTATAGCCCAAATCACTCTTCTTCTGCCTCACAGTCTAGTATAGAACTTCTATGTGGGGTTTTTTTTCCATGATAGGGTAGGACCTTATGTTGTGAAACAAGTGTACTGATCATAATAATATGCTAATGCTTACAACTTGATGCTTGTCCAGAAAGATGTCTAATAAGAAAAATAACAATCATAGCAGTTTATGTAGCCTATGAAGTACGAATACCTCTAAAATTAGGTGTCTTGGTGTCTAACATTTGTATGACACTCATATAATTGGTGTCAGAAAACTCAAACAGTAATCCAAAAAAATGTATTTTCTTAGCTCCGACATTTCTTGAATTAGTTTTCCATACCTATGTGACACTCATATGATACATGTCAGACAATTCAGACAAGTTTTTTGAAACAAGTTTGTTTTTTCCTTTGCTTCAACACACTTTACACATTCTTTGGACACATCTCAGACACATTCACAAAGGTTAAAGATATTTTGAAGAAATAAAATGATAAAGGTTCTTGTAACTTCCTAGCAGTTAGAGAGCGTGGTCTCTTCCAACCAGTTAAATCAGAAACCGAACCCCTTTCCCTTCACTTCCTCTCCATTTCATGACTACATAAGTTACATAAATACAGAAGGCTTCCTCCTAGAATAAGTTATCATAATTTGAGGCCTATTTACTAACAAAATTCCTCCTCAAAAGCTTCACTTTATCCTCAATGTGAAAATTTGAAAACTTCTGAATAACGTATGCAAGTGCCCTTATGGTTTCAAAGGATGGAAGGTCTTCCAACGAATTAACAATTAAATGCCAGAGGAGGCGGTGTTATAGGATGATATTGAGGAAGGAATAGTTCTTTGAGAAGTTGAGTTGAGCGGATCTCTTCCACGGAGGACTTTAAAAGGGGTTCTTTTAGCTGAGCTATTATAATTTGTATTGAACCAAAACTCAACCCCACTCAACTACTTAATCCACTACTTTGACTTAGAACCAACCAAATAACTTAAATAAGTTCAAAAGCAACATTTCACAACTTTAGTTTCACCATCACTGCAGTTGAAATGCTGAACGGAGTTTGAGTTTAGCACGGGCCACTTGAAATCATTCAACTCGGAAGTGACTATGAAATAGTAGATGAAAACCAATGTAATTTGACCATTTCCTTAATGAAATTTTCTGCAGTGTCTTTAGCTTTAAAAGGGAAACTGAGGAATAAACTCAACATTTCTCATAAGCCTGTCTTCAACCACCATGGTAGTATCTTTACCTTGTTCCTTTGGAAGTCCCTCTATAAACCACAGAAATATCAGCCTCCAAACCCAAGTTAGAATCGAAAGAGGTTGGTGAAGACTAGTAGGGGAAAGAGTTGATATCTATTATGCTGACAAACTTCACAATTAGGATAAGTCATCAACTGCCTTATTGTCCTTTCCTGGTTTAAACCAAATTCAAAGTCCATTCTTGTAAATTTGGATATTCATTTGAATTAATCTTCACACAGGACTCTTTGATCAGTCAAAAACCACAAACTCTTTTGATCGGCGAGGGTAATAAAATAGAACCAGAACAAATAGTGCCTTTTGTACAACCATAACAGTGGCCAATGTTCATTAAGCTCCCTTTCATAATTTGATTTCTTTTGGGCCCTGTCTAATAATGTGTGGCTAAGAAAAGCAACTAAATGGCATTCTTGCAACAAACCTGCTCCCAATCATTTATAGAAGGCATTTGCCATAGGTCATGATTCTAGTGGGTGGTTATTAGGATGTAGTGTTTTCTCTTTCACTCTCAAAAGAGTGGTATGTTCCAGATTAAAACTATTAGATGTTCAGTTTATTTGTCTCCTTGAAACTGTTTTATTTCTTTCTGGTTGAACTAACTACAAGTTAAGGGGTGCTACATACCGTTCTACTAAGAAAGTTTTACGACCCTAGCAATGGGACTAAGAGGTTGTCATCAAGAATTCTTTACCGCCTAGGGTCAATAGATGTTCTATCTAACAATTCAATTGTGTGCTAAAAGCTAGATCCTTAAATGTGCTAGATATATTATCTTTGATTCTTTTTTTGATACACATGAAATGAAAATGCAGGAAAGGTATATATAATCACAAACCTTAAAGTCAAATAATATGTCACCAAGTAGTGATGTAAGACAAATGAGAAGAACAAGAAACCCTAATACCAGAGCTGATGATAAAAACCAGTTCCTGTCATTATTTTTGAAGAAATTTGAATATCTATATTGTGGCTTAGCTGTGTACTTGAATAAAATCAGAGCTGCATTAAACTCAAGAACTTGAATGGTAACAAGTGATATGGCCTTCATCAATGAATGAAAAGAACCATGTGTTAAAATATCTTACCAAAATTCAAAAACACCACGAAAGAGGGTCCATTGCAGCTACCTGAGTTTGTGGGTGAAGAAGAGGTTGTTGTCCTGTGAGGAGTGAAACAACGGATAAGCCTCCAAAACTGAGAGGAATATGAAGAGTGAATAGATAGAGAGCAAGATTGGTCCATATATCCCCACTCTCCCATGGACTATCAGATGCAAATGGCGTGTCTTGGTCTTTTGTTTTGCAATAGCATCTCTTCAAATTTTTGGGTTGGAAGGGATTGGATCCCAATTGCAGTTGTGGTTGTGGTGAACATTTCAAGCTACGATTTGTACTTTTTTGGTTGTAAAAGGGTTTCGCCACCAACCTATCAAGTTGAGGGGAAATTTTAACATAAGCAGGTAACCACCCCGTAACCAACATGATCTTTAATCTTGCAGTCTATATTGAATTGTATGTATTGTTCAAGCTCAAGTCTCTGCTTCTATCCAAAAAATAATAATAAAGGTACTTCGAGAATAACCAATGATATCCTTTATCTTTGAGTTTTTTTTTTAAATATTTTTTTTATAAAATTTATTAAACCGTTTCATCTTAAAATAATTCATCAAATTTTAACTTTAATAATATTAGCGTTTAGACGGGCATTCGCATGTTCGTCTGTCCCCTTTTTTTAATGCACACACATAAAAAATTAAATAATAGTAGAAAGTTATTATGTAAGTTATGCATTAAAGGATAAAATTGGTAGAAAATTAAGCTACACCAAAACACTATGTTTTGTCTTTATATATGTTATAAATTATAGATAATAATATAATTCTATTGAATACCTCATATATTAATGGCTTAATATCCTTTTTGGTTCTCTACCTATGCCTCAGGGTCCATTTTGATTCTCTTTCTTTTAAAAATCTCAAGTTGGTCTCTTACGTTGTCTAACAGAATCAAAGTGGTCCTTTCTGTCAAAAATTGGCTAACGACGTTAATTTAGATGACGTGGAAGCTGAGGTGGATTGGTGGAATGTCTATTCATCACCTTCTTCTTCCTTGTTGCTAAAACATTTTTTTATTTTCCCCCAAATTCAACCCTAACGCAAAATGCTTCACAAAATCCCCTAATTGAAACCTAAATCATCATCTAATCATGAGTTCTATGCGCGATTCGTCATCATCATCTAGAAACCGAAGTGATTCACAGGTCTTTAGCAACTCTATTCTTCCATGGAAGCCTCTATGTCGTTGTAGAGACAATGCTATACTTCGTAAGGCAAGAACTGTCAACAATTATGAAAAGCTTTTTTGGGGTTGTCAACATTTTAAGGTAAAGTTTAGTTTGAATAAGATAAGTTGAATGTTGTTGAAATGTCTATGTAATTCATTGCAATTTGCATTCTCAATCTCTACAGGGATATAACAATGCTAGTTGTGGGTTTTTTGAATGGTTCTATGAAGAAGCTAGAGGTGAAAAGGAGCAAACTCTGATGAAGAATCAATGGAAGATAGATGTGCTTAGTTAAGAGATGGAAGAAGCCAAAAAAGAAGTTGAAGTTTTGAAGCTCAGTAATATGAAATTAGAGAATGCTTTGAAGAACACCATCAAGTGGAAGAAGATCTGAAAGTTTATGTTCTATGTTGTTTTATTTTTTTAGTAATCAAATTGTTGTGAAAGAATTCAAGTTGTTGTGAGAGGTTGAAGTATTCGGTTCTTTGTTTTAGTGTTTAAGTTGTAAGTAAAACTTGCATTATTCAAAGTTGCCAAGTTAGTTGTGTTCTTTTGTTACATGATTTAGTTGGACAAGTTAAAATTGTATTGTAGTAAAATCTGTGTTCTGTTGTTATATGATTTAGTTAGACAAGTTAAATAACATAAATTTGGTATAACAGAAATTTGATCAACATAAACCTTGTTCAAATTTGAGAAACAAAAACCTAGTTCAAATGAAACATAACATAAACCTTGTTCAAAGTACCATAACATAATTTGTTACAAACAGTTGATATCAACATAAGTTGTCACAAGCACTTCAAAACAACATAACATTGTTGCACCCCAAAATTTGACCAACATTTATTTACCCATCAAGAGTTGTATGAGACTTTGAAGCTAGCCAAGAAGGTTATTCAAATGTTCAAAGATTGATATCCTTGTCAGAGAACTCAAGAGATCCTCAGAGAGATTGGTTGAAACCAAGGGTGTGTGTCTCATAACTTGAGAGTTGTGGGAGCTCCCCAGATGATTCTGAGACTATGAGAATGGACTTGAAGCTTTGAGAAAGCTTATGAGATGTATTGAAAGCCATCATGAAGCCTAGAGAGGTCATTGTACAAGAATTCAGAAGATTCAGCCATGAGTGGTGGAATTAGGGTTTGACTGGGTCAACCCTAGGTCAACTGATGATTTGGAGAGGGTTGAGACCTAATCCAAGAGCCATGTGATCATGGAATGATGCATTGAGATGCTATAAGGATTATTCCTATACCAACTCATCATGATTGAGGAGTTTGAGAAGTTTTAAGCTAGGGTTTCTAAGGATTGACAGTGTAAAATCCCCTAGTTTGATCCCTATCTTCAAGGAAGTTTAGCTCAAGATGTGATTGTCATCTCATCTTCCCCATAACATGAATGTTGTAGAGCTTGTTCTTAGCTTTAATTTGAGTACTAGAAGTCCTTGATAGGATTTGTAGAGCTCAAGTTATGACTTTGACAAATTACAGGTCATCTGAGGTATGTGAATCTGGGTCCTTGAAAGTCACCCAACTTGCATCCAACTTTTGCCCTAGTAGGATGATTCCTATGAACTCTTGGTCAACATGAATGTTGTAGATAATCTTCTTAGCTTTCTATAGAGTACTATAAGTCCTTGATAGGATTTGTAGAACTCAACTTATGGCTTTGACAAGTCAAGGGCATTTTGGTCATTTGGAGATTATATGTCATTTCAAGCATAAGGCCATATCTCCTACTTCCAAGCTTCAAATGGAAAAATCTTCAACATAAAACTTGCTTATAATGATGTTTTAAGGCTAGTAAGGAGGTCATGATATGTTGAAAAGGCTTGCATCAAAAAGTGGTAAAAATGGCCTAAAATGGAGGCATAAGTTAAATAAGTTGAAAATGAAAATTGGAAATCACAAGTTATACATCCAAACCATGTCATATAATAAGTCATTTTGACTCCAAATGACATTCTAAGAACAATGGTTCAGCCACAATTTTGATTTGAGGCTTGGATCTTAGGGCTGCTTTGGAAATGGCTTACTTGCATCTTAAGGTACCAAAGCAAAACTCAACAAAACTCAATAAGCAAGTTGGTTATGCATTGTACTATATCATAAATCCCATATGGGGAGAATTTCAAGTGAGAATAAAAGGTTACAAGGACCATGGCATGAGATAGCACATAAGGAGAATTGAAATCAAAATGTCATGACATGAAAAGTTCAAATACTCATTGGATGATCCTAGATGGTTCTAGATGATTCTAAACCACTCTATATAACATGTATGACTTGCTCAGATGCAAGGTTGGTGAGAATTGGTGCAGAGAAGAGAGAGTGAGATCAAGAATCTTCCATTGCAAGTCAAGTTTCATTTCTTCATTCTTCTTCATTTCCATTCATTCTTTCCATTCAAACACATTCCATACATCATAGTGAAGCTGTACAGATTGAATTGAGATCAAATCCATGGTGAATTGAAGAGTTGGTGATTGAACTTTCAAGGTAGCAAGTCAGAATCGAATTCTGAGATTGAGGCTTCCTCCATCAAAATTGTTGCAAACAGTAGCAAGATTGACATCTAGGGAAACTTTCTGAAGAGTTTCAAGGTCTGAATTGATGGATTTCATCATCTGTTCATCAAGATTAACCAGGTTTGCAAATTCTTCCCTACACCATGTTTTAGGCATAATTAGGTTAATTTGTTAGTGTAGAAATGTTAGAGACCAATAAGAGATGGATTTTGGAGAGTTAGGGATCAATTGGTGAAGATTGAATTATGGACCCCATTTCTTTGATGACCAAGAACTCGTGTTATATTGAGATATAGAATGAGCTAGACATCAAGAATCACTCAGGGTGAGTTGGTGAGTGATCTGAGATAGTTAATTGCAAGAATTGTTGAGATGGAAGTTTGAGTTCATTTTTTATCTTGAATCGTGTTTCATGTTAGAGGAAGTTTCAGTTGATTTTAAGATCATGATTGTGTTCAGCATGAAAAATGGAGTATGTTAGTGCTTTGTATCGTTAATTTTGAGCAAGAAATGGAGGAGCACGAATGGATGGAAGCTTGCAGGTGGAGCTCTGTTTCCATGGAGGAGTTTCAGCAAACCCTAGCTGAAGGTTGAAGACAACCTCCCCACCATTAGATCTAGCTTGACCCATTGACTATTCCTGAATCCAACGGCCCATGTTTAATTTCGTCTTGGAGGGAATCCTGAGAAGCAATGAAACGATGCGTTTCATTAAAACCTGAGTTCTGGGCTTAAGTGGATCCAATGACTAATCCCACCCCCAATCAAGGCCCATGAATGATTTACACTGCATTTGGCTTCTATTTGCACCGCTTATTTTCCATTTTCTGTATGATTTATTAATTGATTTTCTGAGTGAGTTGGGCCTAGCGCGCTTTACTTTCTGAACCCCCCATTCTGGGCCCATGCGCGTACTGAACTAGATATGTTTACTCTCTGCACCCCATCCTTCCAAGTTTTAATTTTATTTTCTCCATTTTCTTTCATTAATATTTGAAAATTCATATCAATTTGAAAATTAAAGATTTTTTTAATGGGAATTTTTGCTCCCATTTCATATTGTTGTCTAGAAAATTATCAAATAAAAACATTTGCATTTCATGCATTTTTAATATTTTTTTTGTGTATTTTCTACTTTTATTGCATTTTATTTCTTTTATGTTGATCCATGAATTTCTAGAATTTTGTTTAGGTAGTTCCCTTAACATTTTTAGACCATTCTTTTTAGGATAGTTAGATATAAGCTTTAGCTTCCCCCTGGATTTATTCCATAATTTTGTGGTGAATTTTAGGATAGTTTTGATTAGATGACATTAGGTTGTGTAGAATTAGGTTAATCCTTAACATAGGTCCACAATAACATTAGAATTTTGGGTTTCTAGGTCAAATTAGACTATGGGACATATAAGGGTATTAAGGGTAGGTATGTAGGATCCCTTAGAAATTATATTAGGATTTAATATAGTAGTATACTATTTTTAGATGATTTTTGTATATGATGATTGTTTGTGTTGCCCTTGTGGGCTTGTATTTTTATTTGCTTTGCTTGGTAGGCTTGGAGAGCTTGGTCTTGTTCTAAGGAGCATTGAGGAGCATAGTAGAAGATTTGAAGATGCATTGAGGAGCTTGAGAGCTTGATCTTGTTTGTTTTGTATATTGTTTTAGGGT